AAAAAAAAAAAAAAAAACCTATAAAATATTTACCAACCAAAACATCAAGAATTTGTTTTCCTCAAACAAGTGGAAAATTTGGAAAGTTGGAAAACATTTTCTCCAGAAAATTTTGTCTATCAAACACTATAAAAGTTGAAAAAGGGAAAACATTTTCCATGAAAAATACGGTGTATCAAACGGAGCCTTAGTTTTTATCTTATAAAATGCATGCACAAATTGTTAAGTCACATTGTTTAAAAGCTTAACATGTATGAAATAAGTTACCTTGTGTTAGTGACATAGAGATTGATCCAATCCCAGTACGCAAATCATTTCGCCTTGTAATATTCAGAGATCGAGTAGAGATGCCGACTGATCCATCTGAAGTATTCTAACCTTGAAATCCTGTGAAGTACTAATCCTGTCATAAGCTTGTCTATACATTAAGCCTTTTTATAAATTGGTTTCTAAACTCAGTTAAAGTTAAATATTAATTTCAACATCACATTCATAACTATTATTCATTATTATCCATATATTTTGAAGAACTCGCTATTATTTATTTTACTATTCATATTTATGAATCATTTATAGAATTTGTCATATAGAGGCTATGTGAACACCCATTTACTGAGAAACTCGAGTTCACTAACCAAAAATCTATACTTCATGGTTTTTTCTTCGAAAAATATAAGGGAAAAACCGAAGCCTCAAAATTTTGCGGTAAGAGTTTTAGTCCTTATTTTATAAAAATTTATAACTTTTCAATTGGTTAAAGTTCAATTTTTATCACACACTTCATGAGATTTACAATTTTTTAACCACACATTTGATAAACTTTTATCAAAATTTATTAAGACTTTTATCAAGAACTTTGGTTCAGCTAAAAACGTTATATAACTCATATTTGGTTCAGTTAAAAAAGTTAATTAAAATCTCGGTCAAAGTAAACAATTAATTTTAAATCTCATTTAATGGACCCACAACTTTTTAACAACACATTTTATAAAATTTTATCTAAATCTATTGAGAATCTAATTTTTATCTAAACCAAATAGACGCATAATATCATATGAAAGTGAGCATTGAATTTAGGGTAAATTTGGGCTAGAGTCCCCAACCTTCACGTAATGTGAATCTAGATCCTCAACCTTCGAAAATGAATTTTTGCATCACGACCTATTTAAATTCACGGAACTGAATCCCCAAGTGATCAAACTCATCAATATTGATGTTAAAATCACACGTGATTTTCATATGACAGAGATTTATAGCTGAGAGCCAAGTGAAATTTAATGTTTACATTGATTTTCGTAACATGGGATCCAAATTTATATATGCAAATAAGTAGTGGAACCAAAATCTCACTTTTGAAATTTGAAGACCATAATCGTAATACGTGAAAAGTTGGGGAGCTCAGTCCTTATTTACCCGTGAATGTAATTAGTTATACACTCTTTCAATGAGTATTCATCTTTGTTCATATTATATTCTCTCTGAATAAAGATTTTGTGTGCAAATAGAGGAATTGATTTCAATTTCCGAATTTTTTAAATTATCGTAGCTTGTGATAATCTCGCAACTTGGATTTATAAATTGAGAATAAAATTAAAGTAACATCACGTGACACACTTTTTAGAGGGTTGTGTGAAGAAAGACCTTAGAAAAAAAAATGGAAAAGAGAGCTAGTATTCTATTATCAATGCATTAGTCCACATTTTTATGTTCATAATAATAATTAGTTAATCTGCATAACGAATATGCTAACCCATTTGAAAAAGGACGATACCAAGGTATCTTATTCTTTTGCTTTTGCTTTTTGAGTCAAAATCAAAATGCGAGAAGTTGTTATATTCCTATCTTCACTTTGGTGATAAAATCCGCACGCTTTCTCCTTTTCCGTCTCTCATTTTTATTTGTGGAAATGAAAAAAGGTAGGGTTCGAATTTATGAAATTTTTGGGATAAAACATTTATCTTTTTTTCCCGCCTCCTCATGTGCTAGATCAGGATTACATATTAGTATTGAACTTTAAAACGATGTAGTTTGATATCATTTAATGTGGTATTAGAGTAAAAGGGTCACGTTTACGACAAATCCACATAATCTATGATGAGGAGACAAATTCCATTTGAAATTAAGGCTGCAAGTTTAGATAAATTTGCCTTTTTTAAAAATTTAAGCCTTTGAACTAGTTGTGAATTTTGTCCCTTTTAGACGTCAAAAGAACTTAACTTCATTATTTTAATTGTGAAGGGAAATGAGGAATATAATCAATCCACCTAATGAACTCGTCTAGGGAATGAACATGAGCTGGCCACATTATGCCACTTGCATTACATAATTCCGCATTATATATATTGATAACTATATCTTATATACTTATTTGGACCTAAAAATATAGACATTTAATAGTTCTTTTGAACAATTATAGCCTAATTTATTGTATATTTTGTTTATTAGCCGAAACTCGATAAAAGGAAGTGGAATTGAAAGAAATAAGCAAATATTTAAGAAAAATGGCAAAATCCAAAGTTTAGGAATTAAAATGCAAATACTCAAAAGTTGTGTCGGACTTTACAATGGAGATTCGAGAATGTTAGAGGTCAATTGGATGCAATTAGAAATACAAAGGAGTGAAATATGATCAAAATATAGACACAAATCAATTTTTAACCGCACAAATATGTTCCAAATTTTTAGCTCGAGATTGAGACCTATTTTTTATTTAGCAAACATTCGAATTGGAAAAAAGTTATTTTTAATAAAATTGTAGCCCTTGGAGTTACCTTTTACAATCCAATTTGAATTATCTCAATCGAATATTGAGAGAGAAAGTTACGATAAAAATATTGAAAAAAGTGCAGTGCAGATTCTAACACGTGGCGCCACCCATTTGTGAATTATAGAGTTGTGGCATCGAGGCACCGCCTATATGTATTTAGTGCACGTTTTGACTTGTTTTGAAGCTCATAAAAACCCTATATTCGACATAAATGCGGGAGGAATATAAATACAAGTTGTTGAGTTCCACATAATTTGGGAAAGAAAAATACATAATCATCAAGATCAAAGAGTAAAAGCTAGGATTTAAAGACTTTTGAGGTTGAAGAAAATTCTTGGAGTAAGATCTAATTATTTCCATGATCAAGCTATCAAAACCCCATTATGAACTCTATTTTTTTTTTCTTTCATTATTATGAGTACCTAAATTCAAAATTAGTGCGAACAACGTAATCTATGTGTGGCCCTTTATTGCTTTTATTCAATATTATAGTTCTTTAAATGCATATGTATTGATTTTATTGATGAATTTAATACTTTGAATTCTTTGACCAATTATTCAATGATTTTGTGAATCTATTATGAATCAAGATGTGGGTTTTAGATTTAGATCACATAGTAAAATTCTATAATTTAGTATAACGTGTAAATATACATATACTAATTATTGTGGTTATTAGATAAATTCTTAGAGCTAATATTTCGTTTAATTAAGATTGATTCTCATATAGATATGAAATTAAATTCATTAAATAGACTCAATATGAACTTGAGATGGGTAAATTGAATATTTTAGAAGAATTAGATCAAACATCACAATAGTAATAAATCTTGATTGACGAATTGAAGAGGATCCATAGGTAAATTGTAAATCATAGCATCTACATTCATACTTTTAAAACCCGAATTAGATAAATTGTGTCCGTTAGATAATTTAGTTTAATTACAATAATTTAGACATTAATAAAAAAAAATCTTATTATTCGTTTTTGATCAAATTAAAGTTAAGAATAATTTAAAGAATTGTTAGATAGTAGTTCTCGTGGGAATGATATCTAGATTCATTAGTCTACTATATTACTTGTTACGATCCGCACTTATGGGATATAAAAATCACAAATTTTTGGTGTCGTTGTTGGGGACTATTTTTATTTAATATTGGTTTTAATTATTTCTTGCTTTTGTTTGATTTTTTTTTCAATTGATTTACATGTTTTTCTTTGCTCCATTAACATGAACTGAAAATAAGCAAGAGGTAAAAAATTTACAATAATTCATTCTGAGTTAAATGAAGGTGACATGCTTTTTGGAGAATCCCTGTTCAGACGTGAATTTAAAAAGTGAGGATATGATCAACCTATTGTATTTGACAAGGATGGATTTTCGAAGGGACTAAATATCAAATCTATTGTTTATGAGGAAATTAATCCAACTTGTGAATATTATGGGGAATTGCATCTTGGAAAAAATTGCTTGTCATTGGCGACTCTAGAGGAAGTAAGGAAAACAAGAGGTTGAAGTAATCAAAATTTGAAGAATTCTCATTTGGTGAAGTATCGACTTGCAATTGGTATAAAGATTTAGCTTCAGATCACACGCCGGGAAAAAAATAAAAAAGAATAAGTTTGGGGGTGCTTGAATTTTACGAATGATGAAAATAAAAATTTGACCATCGAGGATTGAGAATTGAAACAACTCGTTAATTGATAGTGTTTTTCTTGATTCTTCACACATAGACATTAATTTGGCATTGAAAAAGTAGATATTGATTTTGATAACTCAACTCTCCACTTCGTGTAAGTGCAATCTACTTGGATGTATTAACGGTATAAATTACACAAAAGTTAAATACTGAATACTATCCACCATATGGATTTGAACTACTCCAACATAATATGATGTTAGAGCTCAAAATGTTCTATTGGCTAATACTGAAATTGTTTTAATTAAGAAATAAAGAGAATAACTCGAATTATTAAATAAAAAAAAGGAAAAAAATCCAATTAAGAAAGAAAGAAGGAAACGTGGGACATTATACAACACAGCTTTTTTATTATTAAAAGATTACATCAATAGACATTATTCCAACAATTCTTGAATATATGAAATAAATTTATTTATGAATATAGTATCCTCTTATTCTATGACAAACGCATAGAACAATTTGTGTTTGTATGTTTAGGTTTTATTTTTGTTAGACTTCTTCAACGATTACGTTATGAATTTTCAAACCCCCTTTCCATTTGCCAGTCCAAACTTCATACAAACCAAAATAAAGCTTTGGGTTATCATTTGAATTATTTTCTACTGGGTATGAGTCTCCAGTGATCTTAGTTTTCTCGGTATCTATTTTAACTTTTTCCCATTTAACTTTTCCAGCTTTTCCAGCCTTCAACATAACGTAGAGAGGAGAAACCCCCCAACCAAATGCGTCCGGAGTAAACGATACGTTGAAACTGACTCTGTGCGACTTCGTCGGGTCAATGCCGCGAACGGAACCAGTCACCTCAAGCCAACAAACTTGCAATAATTCTGCCTGACCACTGCAGTACAAGAAAGTAGGTAAGTTGTTATTCTATAGAATAAGTTGAATATGAATAAAATAGATAAATATGTCACGTCTCTGACTCACGGCTGTATTTTCCAGTAGCGATTGTCTCTGCCCCAAATAATGTTGAGATCTTCAGGTGGAATTGTAATCTTCTTTCCGTTCTGTACACAAGAAAATTACTTTGATGTATTACAATCTATGGACCAAAATATATCTCATTTAATCTAATTCGTCATCATGCATGGAAGCAAACAAGGAGTATGTGCCTTAAATTGATATAATATATTTGGAGTTGGCGTTAATGAATGAATTTGAGATAGAAAATGGAAAAAAATTATATCATTCGACGAAGAAGATGAAGTTGATCACGAACCTTGTCAAACTCTTTTTCTTTTCCTTCGTGGTGTGGATTTTTCGAAGTCATTTCCAAGCAATTGAGTAAAGAGCTCAAAAATATTAGAAGAAATGTATATGAAGGTTTTTTGTTCAAAAAATTAATTAATCTGATGAATGTGAAGTTTATGTATTCATCCTTCTGTATATATAAAGGGGATAAAGCAGGGAACATGACAATGGAAGCAACCAATTGATTTCGAATATAGAAAAAGAATTGTTGCTGCGTCAATTGTACGAAGGGAATGTGGCTCAAATATTTATCCACGCACAAAAAAGTCTTCTTATTCTCTCTCTCTCTTTAACGTAAAGTATTCTTGATTGCTTGGCAGACACCAATATTTCTCTTTCATACCTGTATTATTTGATTCTAGAAGCCACCAAGCATAATAAATAATTGTAAACGTCAAGAGGGAAAAAAAAAAAAAAGAAAGAAAGAAAAAGCAAAAACAAAAATAAGGCAAAAAATGACCACAATTTTTTTTTTCAACGACCATCACGATCCAATTCCCATCTTATATGTTCACATGGCTAAGTTCGAAGACTGGCGTCTGATTCTGCTTGCTGCAGAGAACTTTGATTCAACTTATTAGGTGAAGTAACTCAATCTCTTATAAGCCCATAATCTATAAGCAGGGTGGAACTTTATTAGAATGCACTGAACCCATAAATTATATAGGTTATTTTTTTCTGATCTATTCTTTTCGGTAATTAGAAGAGAAGTGGTAATCCGGTAATTGCTTGTATTATATTCCTTTCGTGTAGACTGTGACTCTAATTCGCACTACGTACGTTCAAAGAATCTTCCATTCTCACTGCTCCGATGGGTTGTCTATTTAAGTAAAGCATATATTACAACGAATATTCACACAAGTGTTTGTAATGGAACCACAATTCTTTTCAAAAGCATCTAAAATTGAGTGTATTGAAAACAGCGTCTTTAGGTGCAAGGGTAGTGCCTTGCACGGCCTTCGCACAGCAAAGATGTGGACATTGGTGTCTTGGAGGCATATTTTGCACTTCTCATTAATACACGTAAAACGATGAGATTCTGTTTAGAGTCGAGACGGTACTAACAAACCTATCAACGAAATCAAGAGGTTAGGTGAATCAAAGAAAAAGTATTCAACTATTTATGTTGACGGTAGAAATCGGATCAATATATCCTCTCATCTAGTCGTGATTTTCACCAGCTAAACTTACTAGTTTTGATGTTCAAACTCAGAGCAAGCAAAGAAATGACTATTTAAAAGGAAAATATTTGAATTACATCTTTTTCTCTTCAGAAGTGGGGTATTTATAGGTCATTTTGGGAGAGATGACAACTCACGATTTTTTATTGGCTAACTCATAACTGATTCTGTTATGATATCACATTTTACTCATTGGCCTACGTGCATTTTATTAACAGTCTGTAGCTAGCCTGAATGGGGGGATTCCCCATTATGTGCGAACCTTTTACGCTTTTGTTTCCCTCGCTTGTTGCTTTAATCTGCAAGAAGATGGCAAGGTTGGCGGATTGTGTTCTAAGGTTTAACAATTTATATATGGTTGGACACATTTCCACTATAACTTGAAGGCGTATGTGCATATCCAGTGCATCACCGTAAATAATGCATGAAGAAACATTGACACAATAATATGCTTTTGAGCCAAATTAATTCCCAATAATTTTTTCAACGACTTGGTGGTCAAGAGAACTTTGTACCTCATATATTAACCAAACAAGCAAAGTAGGATTCTACTTGGAAGATGACAACGGTAGCAAAACACATGGTTTTTCATTCCCAAAGTGAGGGAAACTGGAGCAACAAGCTGTTTCACAGTTTTTATAGAAGCATATTCCCCAACACTGTCGATGTCCCAGATCCAAAGAGTTAAACCTAGTTTTCAATTCTTTGAATCTTATGGTTATTGCACTAATCTTGAAGCAGAATTAAGGGTAACTGGTCTTAAGAATGGTTAAGTTCGAAATAAGTGACGTATATGAGTGGAAGTAGACTCTATGACGGCTGTACATCTTCATGATTGATCACCAGCGGGCTCTAATTAGTTCATGACATACAATCTATCGTGATTCCATAATACAACAGTAACGGATCACAGTAAAAGGATTAAGGGGAAAAATCATAAATCAAGTATTAACTATCACTAAATCCATTTTCAAGCCTTAAGTTTAACTATCGTGATTCCATAATACAACTGTAATGTATCACAGTAAAAGGATTAAGGGGAAAAATCATAAATCAGGTATTAACTATCACTAAATCAATTTTCAAGCCTTAAGTTCAAATATTGCAAAAATCAAGTATTTTTTAATTAATTAAATATATTAAAATCACAATTATACATTTCATGGTCACGTATACATATTTATAGGTCACAACTTATTTATTGGTCACGGATTACTTTTCGATCGCAAATCAGAAAATTTATAAGTCACGAATTTTTTTACGGTCGCAAATTAAAATTTTCGTAGGTCACAAGTCACAAATCACAAATATTATGAGTCACAACTTATTAGTTAGTCACAAATTATCAAATTTTTTAGGTCACATGTAATTTCATGGTCACAAATTATCTTTTTCATTGATCACATATTATTTATTGGTCATAGATTAACCAATTTAATGGTCACAGTCAACCAAATAATTGGTGACCACCACCAACACTAGCGACCCCGACAACACCACCATCACTGTCGCGCCGAACCACCACCACTGCCACCAAACCACCATAACTGTCGACGCAGCCACCACAACATCACCACCACTAACAAAACTGTCACCACCAGATCCAACAAAAAAAAAAATTCTCAAACCCGCCACCACCTCCATCCCCGTCACTACCACCAGTTCTATCACCGTCCCTGTCGCTGCTAACAACACAGACATTACCACACAACACCACACCACAACCACCACAAACCCACCACCACCTCCACCCCCGTCGATGCCAACACCACTATAGACATCACCACCACATCACACCACAACCACCACCAGATCGCACCAACTGAGAGACATCATACTACCCCAACCGTCATATCCACCACTACAAAATTGCCACCACACAAGACACCACCATCACCACCACCACACAAAACACCACCCAGATGAGGACGCGGTGCTTCGCCTGTGAAGAGTCACTTGAGTGGGTGGATCTGTTTCTCAAATACTGTTGCTTCTTCATGCCGCATTGAACAAAAGTCATTTCACAGCAGCAAATCGTAGCGATTTGGGCTCCTTCTGGCCGGTGAAGCTACGGTTGCGTGTGTTTAGAGTAAGAAGTGGGTTGGTGATGGGAGGGAGGGAGAGCGAGAGGGGACAGTGAGACAAGAGGTTTTGGAAGAAGAGGAGAAGTGAGGGAGAGAGGTGAACTACCGCGTTGTCGTTGCGCCGACTCGTCGTGAGGCTGTCGTAGCGCCATTCACAGAGGGAAGGGAGGAAGACGAGAGGCGAGAGATGGAGGGGAGGGTATAGTGTGTGTTAAAATTAGGGTTATTAATTGAGGATTTAATATATATTACCTGATTTTTAAATAAATAAATTTTACACCTTATTTTTGAAAATCAATTTTTAAACATCTGATTTGTGTAATTTTCCCAAGGATTAAACTCAAGCACAAAACACAACATAAATTGGTAAATCCCTAATGAAAACATCCAAGGTAAATAATCAACTATAAAAATAAAAAATAAAAAAAAATCAAAAATATTTTGGAATTACACCATAAAATCAAAATAAAAAATAAATTTAAAAGCAACTATGCAAAATTCTCTTGTTTCTTGTCCTTTTGAATTGTAGAGGAATAGAACCAATCACGTGATCTTGATCTTTCATTACTCCTACGATTGTACCCTGATTACCCCTGTTTACTCTCTAAATCAGGAATAAGAACACAGATCTTATTTTTGTTTTGAGATGAAACTTCCGTAAGTGTGAATTCAACTTAGCACCAAAAACAATATCTTCAAACTGTTGAAGAGCGAAGGTTTTCTATCAAAACCAAATATAAATAGTCCCCTAACTTTGTTTCTATCAAANAAAAATTGTAGAATCTTAATTTCAAAATGAACACCTTACTCTAATACCAATTAATAACCCAATGATAACTAACCAAGAGGGGGAAGAATTGATTTTTAAAACTTTTTTCGAAGAATTAATCTAAATTCGAGCAAATAAAGACTAAATAGATTAATTCAAATAATAAACACAAATATGAAAGCAATAAGTAAAGAGAGATAGATGATGCAAACAATATAATTATAGAGGTTCGATCCAACACAATGATCTCCGTCCTTCGTTACTAAGCTCTTCGACACGAGCAACGCCAATTTCACTACGTTGATTGACTTGTGATGCAATTCAACCATTTATAATGCTTCAAATGATTTACAAATAAAGAGCACCGATCCTTATACAACTTTGAGCTTTACGAGACATCAAAACGACCCACAAGTTTTAAATAAAGTTGGTTTTACAATTGTAAAGAAAGTTCTATAAAGTATTGAGACTTAATTACTGAAATTATAAAAGTTTTGGGCTTAATCATAATTACAATAAAGTTTTGTACTGAGTTATAATTGCTATAAAAGTTGTAAACATAATTAAAATTGTAATTAAAGTTCTAGAACTATACATGCAAGTAAATGTAAACGAACTGGATGTGGACTTTAATGAAAACTTTTATTTGAGTTTTTATTAAAACTCCTATTTGAATGTGGAATTATTACTGTATGAGGATTGGAACTATTCTATCTCTATAAATAGAGATTAGATGGAACCTAGACATCCAATTGAATAGAAGAATTATAATACATAATTCCATAGTGTTCAAATTGAAGAGAGAGAAAAAAGTAAGAAATTATTTTTCTAATCGTCTAGTCCAAGAATAGTTTCTTGATTTAATTAAAAAGAGGTGCCTACCCATCGGCGTTGTCTTGACTTTAGAGAATATTATAGAAGACTTGAAGGTTTAGAGCATCAAGTTCTTGGAATTAAAAAGTTGGAGAATCATGATCGAAAAACT